GTGTGCGGGCAACGGGCGAGGTCAGCTGCCAGCAGGGAGCCCAGGGCGGCCAGCGGGGGACCCTGCGCACTCCCACCCGGAGCCACTCCCACCGGACCAGCCCCCAGCCTCGCTCCTCCGGGCCATGAGACACAGGAAGAAGGGTGGCATGCCCCCGGGAAGCCGTGCATCCACATCTCAGGCACGTGGCCACGCGGGCCTCAGCTTCTCGAGCACAAAATAAGAAAGACACTGTCCCCCAAGGGCTGCCTCAGGAGCAGTGGTGCCGGGGCCCCATGCTCCCCACTTCCTGGGGCATCATAGCGCCCACCAGAGTGTTGCAGCACAGTGAGTTCGCCATGGCCTCGAGGGAGAGAGGCCACGAACGGGGCAGCAGGGGTGGTGGAGAGGAGTGCACTTCGTCCTGGGCCCAGGAGCCTCACCTGAGACCTCGAGGTTGCGACACAGACTTCCCAAGAACATAAAGGGACCTTCCAGGGCTGCTGAGGCCCCTGGGGGTTCCCACCCCATTTTTAGCCAGAGCACTGAGGCAGAGCTCCCCTCCCCCCAGGCCCAATTGTCTGCTCGCAAAAATAGCACCCATGGTTACTAATGATTCACCTCATCCGTCCGGGAGCCAGTCCCGGAAGCTGCAGGAGGCCAGGCCGGGCCCCCGAGGAGGGGCAGCTACCTCAGGTACCCCAGCCACTGGCACTGGCCCAAGCGCAGTGACGGCAGTCTGCCCAGGGCCACTGCCCACCCAGCAGCGACAGAGCATCCTGGCCACTGCTCGTCTCCCAGCTGTGCCTCCCCCGCACAGGGACACACGGGAGCCAGAGACCGCCCAGAGCCAACCCGAGGATGATAAGGGACTGAGAACTTCAGACACAACAGGCCTAGGGCAGGGCCCAAGCCTGAGAGGGTCAAGGGCCATGCAGAGGGCATGGACAGTGGCCTGGGCATGGATCTGCCTGCAACGAACCAGGGCAGTGACCTCTAGCCCAGGGTCCAGGGGAAGCAGCGGGGAGCTGTTTCTATGCTGGACCAGGTGTCGGGCAGGCCTGGCCCACACCCACACGTGTGTGAGCTGGGCGGCCCGAGCCAGCCTGAGTTAAGGTGGGCCAGGCTGGCTGGGCTGGGCCCAGTGCAGCTTGAGTAGTAGTTATGTGGAAAGGGTCCAACTACCCCAGGCTCAGCTGGGCCAGGCTGGCCCCTCTGGGCTCCACTTGGCTGTGTGGCACTGAGTAGAGTGAGATGGGCCAGGCTGGGCTGATTTTGCAGGAGCAGGTGGGCTGGAGGAAGCTGGGATGAGCTTGGTGGACAAGTACGGCAGGCGGGAGTTTGGGGGGGCGACCCTGCCCTTGCATACAAAAGGCTTGGCCAGGCTGGGCACTTGTGGCTGAGCTGGGCCATCCTGAGCCAGGGGATCTGAGCCACACTGGGGGGCTGGAGGCAGGAAGGCCCGGGTCAGACGAAACGCTGTCCTCAGTGGGGGCTGTCCTGGGCTGGGCTGACCTGCGGGGACAGGTCTAAGGAGCAGAGCTGAGGCAGCCTGGGCTGGACTTCCCTAGGCTGGCTCACCTTGGCTCACCGAGCTGAACAAGAATAACCTAAACCGCACTGCATTCACCGGAGCAGAGCTGAGCGGAGCCGGAGAAAGCTGGGCCAGCTGACCAGGGGCTACGCTAGGCTGGGAAACAAACGGGCTACCTTGGCTCAACAGAGCTGAGCTTGTCTGATGTGTGCAAAGCTGGGCTGGGCTGAGACTGGGCTGAGCTGATCTCGGTTGAATGAGCTGAGCTGGGCTGGGCTGGGCTGTACTGAGCTAAACTGGACTACGCTGGGCTGGGTGGGCTGAACCGGACTGAGCTGGGCTGAACCGGGCTAGACTTGGCTGCACTGGGCTGAGCTGGGCTGAGCTGGGTTGAACTGGGCTGAGCTGGGCTGGGCTGAACTGGGCTGAGTTGAACTGGGCTGAGCTGGATTGAGCTGGGCCAAACTGGGCTAAATTATTCTGAGCTGGGCTGAGTTGACCTAGGCTGGACTAAGCTGGGCTGAGCTGGGCTGGGCTGGGCTGAGCTGGGCTGGGCTGAGCTGGACTGAGCTGAGCTGGGCTGGACTTAGCTGGACTGGGTGAACTGGGTTGAGCTGAGCTGGGCTGAGCTGGGCTAAACTGGGCTGAGCTGGGCTGAGCTGGACTGAGCTGCACTGGGCTGAGCTGAGCTGAACTGGGCTGGGCTGAGCTGGGCTGAGCTGAGTTGAGCTGGGCTGAGCTGGACTGAGCTGGGCCAAACTGGGCTAAATTATTCTGAGCTGGGCTGAGTTGACCTAGGCTGGACTAAGCTGGGCTGAGCTGGGCTGAACTGGGCTGGGCTGGGCTGAGCTGGACTAGACTGGACTGGGCTGAGCTGGGCTGAGATAAGCAGAGCTAAGCTAGACTGTGCTGAACTGGTTTGGCCTGGGTTGAGCTGAGCTGAGCTGAGCTGGGCTGGGCTGGGCTGGACTGAGCTGGACTGAGCTGAGCTGGGCTGAGCTATGCTAAACTGGGCTGGACTTAGCTGGACTGGGTGAACTGGGTTGAGCTGAGCTGGGCTGAGCTGGGCTAAACTGGGCTGAGCTGGGCTGAGCTGGGCTGAGCTGGGCTGGGCTAGACTGAACTGGGTTGAGCTGAGCTGAACTGGGCTGAACTGGGCTGAGCTGGGCTGGGCTGGACTGAGCTGGGCTGGACTGAGCTGGGCTGAGCTGGGCTGAGCTGGGCTGGGCTGAGCTGGACTGAGCTGGGCTGGGCTGGGCTGGGCTGAGCAGGGCTGGGCTGAACTGGACTGGACTGAGCTGAGCTAGGCTGAGATAAGCAGAGCTAAGCTGGACTGTGCTGAACTGGTCTGGCCTGGGTTGAGCTGAGCTGAGCTGAACTGGGCTGGGATGAGCTAGGTTGAGCTGAGCTGAGCTGAACTGGGCTGGGCTGGGCTGGGCTGAGCTTAGCTGGGCTGAACCGGGCTGAACTGGGCTGGGCTGAGCTGGACTGAGCTGCACTGCACTGAGCTGGACTGAGCTGCACTGGACTGAGCTGTGTGGAGCTGGGCTGAACTGAGCTGGGCTGAGCTGGGCTGAGCTGAGCTGAGCTGAGCTGGGCTGGGCTATGCTAAACTGGGCTGGACTGAGCTGGACTGGGTGAGCTGGGCTGAGCTGAGCTGGGCTGAGCTGGGCTAAGCTGGATTGAACTGGGCTAAACTGGACTGGGCTGAGCTGAGCTGGGCTGAGCTGGGCTGAGCTGGGCTGAGCTGAGCTGGGCTGAGCTGGGCTGAGCTGGGCTAAGCTAAACTAAACTGGACTGATCTGGACCGAGCTGAGCTGAACTGAGCTGAGCTGAGCTGGGCTGAGCTGTGCTGAGCTGAGCTGGGCTGAGCTGGGCTGAGCTGGGCTAAGCTAAACTAAACTGGACTGATCTGGACCGAGCTGAGCTGAACTGAGCTGAGCTGAACTGGGCTGAGCTGGGCTGAGCTGGGCTGAGCTGGGCTAAGCTGGGTTGAACTGGGCTAAACTGGACTGGGCTGAGCTGAGCTGGGCTGGGCTGGGCTGAGCTGAGCTGGACTGGACTGAGCTGGACTGAGCTGGGCTGAGCTGGGCTGAGCTGGGCTAAGCTGGGTTGAACTGGGCTAAACTGGACTGGGCTGAGCTGAGCTGGGCTGAGCTGGGCTGGACTGAGCTGGACTGAGCTAGGCTGAACTGGACTGACCTGGGCTGAGCTGGGCTGAGCTGGGCTGAGCTGGGCTGGGCTGAGCTGAGCTGGACTGAGCTGAACTGGACTGAGCTGAACTGGACTGAGCTAGGCTGAGCTGGGCTGAGCTGAGCTGGACTGGGCTGGACTGGGCTGAACTGGACTGAGCTGGGCTGAGCTGGACTGGACTGAGCTGGGCTGAGCTGGGCTGAGCTGGACTGGACTGAGCTGGACTGAGCTGGGCTGAGCTGGACTGGACTGAGCTGGGCTGAGCTGGGCTGAGCTGGACTGGACTGAGCTGGACTGAGCTGGGCTGAACTGGACTGGACTGAGCTGGGCTGAGCTGGGCTGAGCTGAACTGGACTGAGATGGGCTGAGCTGGGCTGAGCTGAACTGGACTGAGATGGGCTGAGCTGGGCTGAGCTGAACTGGACTGAGATGGGCTGAGCTGGGCTGAGCTGGGCTGAGCTGAACTGGACTGAGCTGGGCTGGGCTGAGCTGGGCATGGACTGAGTTGGGCTATACCAGGTTGGGTTGGACTAAACGGGTTCAGTTAGTTGGTTTGGTCTGCCTGAGTCAAGCTTCACAGAGTCAAGCAGGGTATACAGTTTCTAGGTCCAGTGGACAACTTCAGTGAGGCTAAACTGAGTGGGACTAACCAGGGACAATAAGCCTGGCTGGTAGGCTGAGCCAAACGGAATTGAATGATTTCGGTTGAATTTGTGGACTGAACTCAGATGAGTTAGCCTGCTTGAAATTGGGTATCCTGGGCTGATGTGGGCCAGGCTGGACCAAGGCGGACTCCCTGGACCTGAGCGGGTCTGAATCAGGCAGAGCTAGTGAGCCTGGGTGTGGAGTGGGTTTGTATCACTGCTCTCAGCCATCCTGATGCAAGGCCATGTAGACTGGTCTCACTGGACTGAGTGGGCAGAATGGAGAATGAGCTGGGGTCTGGGCTCCAGGGAGGAGTCACCACCTGGGGGAGTGGAGAGGACTGATCTGGGCTCTGCTATGAATGGGGCCAGTAGTCAGGCTCCCTGGAGCCTCCACAGGTCAGGAGACGAGTCAGACAACTCTACTTTCCAAGAACCCCACATTCCTTCCACTCAGGGCTGCAGGCAGGGTGTCCTGGAAAAGGGTAAGGACGCCCCTGCTTCTGGCGGGGACACAGGGGTTCATGGGAGGGCATTCCTAGCAGACTTAGAGAACAAGAGTCCAAAATGAGCATCTATCCCCTAAGGCTGGAGGGGTCCCAGTGCCCTCCACCCGACCCCCCCACCTCTGCCCCACACTTCTCCCTCAGGCTCTGCAAGCTGGCACTGACACTGCCTCTGTCCCCACAGTCTCCATCCAGGCCCCCACTGTCTTCCCCTTGGCCACCTGCTGCAAGGACACCATCACCAGTGCTGTGTCTATGACACTGGGGTGCCTGGTCACCAGCTACTTCCCGATGCCAGTGACTGTGACCTGGGACGCAGGGTCCCTAAACAAGAGCGTCGTGACCCTCCCCGCCACCCTCCAGACCTCTGGCCTCTACACCACCAGCAGCCACGTGACCGTCTGGGGCAAGTGGGCCAAACAGAAGTTCACCTGCAGTGTGGCTCACGCTGAGTCCACCACCATCAACAAGACCTTCAGCGGTGTGCCAGGGTCGGGCTGGAGGAAGGGGGCAGGCTGGGTGGGAGCAGGAGCAGGGGGGACTTGAGCTGGCATGCAGGTGCCATGGGCTCAGGGGGTGCTGATGCCACACTGCCACCTTCACCCCTAGCTTGTGCCATGAACTTCATTCCACCCACCGTGAAGCTCTTCCACTCCTCGTGCAACCCCTCCGGTGACACCAGCCACACCATCCAGCTCCTGTGCCTCATCTCCGGCTATGTCCCTGGTGACATGGAGGTCACCTGGCTGGTGGATGGGCAGAAGGCCACAGACAGGTTCTCACACATTGACCCTGGCAAACAGGAGGGCAAGGTGACCTCCACCCACAGCGAGCTCAACATCACGCAGGGCGAGTGGGTGTCCCAGAAGACCTACACCTGCCAGGTCACCTACCAAGGCTTCATCTTTGAGGACAATGCTCGCAAGTGCACAGGTATGGCTCCCCCATCCCCTCCAACACCCAGACACAGGGGCTCAGAGAGGAGGCCTGAGCCACACCCTCCCACGCACCAACCCCCCCCCCGCCGCAGAGTCTGAGCCCCGAGGCGTGAGCACCTACCTGAGCCCGCCCAGCCCTCTTGACCTGTACGTCCACAAGTCGCCCAAGATCACCTGCCTGGTGGTGGACCTGGCCAGCATGAAGGGCATGACCCTGACCTGGTCTCGGGAGAGCGGGGAACCCGTGCACCCAGACTCACTGGTCAATAAGACTCAGTACAACGGGACAATCACCGTCACTTCGACCCTGCCGGTGGACGCCACTGACTGGGTTGAGGGGGAGACCTACCAGTGCAAGGTGACCCACCCGGACCTGCCCAAGGACATCGTGCGCTCCATCGCCAAAGCCCCCGGTGAGCCACGCAGGCCTGGGGAGGCGGGCGGGGCCCCTGTGCTGCAGCCTGGGCTGACTCCGCCTCTGTCCGCAGGCCGGCGTGTCCCCCCGGAGGTGTACGTGTTCCTGCCGCCCAAGGGGGAGCCGGAGGCCAAGGACAAAGTCACCCTCACGTGCCTGATTCAGAACTTCTTCCCCCCGGACATCTCAGTGCAATGGCTTCGAAACGATAGCCCCGTTGGGGCAGAACAGCAGGCCACCACGTGGCCCCACAAGGCCACCGGCCCCAGCCCTGCCTTCTTTGTCTTCAGCCGCCTTGAGGTTAGCCGGGCAGACTGGGAGCAGAGGAATGTGTTCACCTGCCAAGTGGTGCACGAGGCGCTGCCCGGCTCTAGGATGATCAAGAAATCCGTGTCTGAAAACCCTGGTAAATGATGCCCATCCTCCTGCATACCCCTCCCCCCAGAGCTCCACCCTCCTGGCGCGGGGGAGGGGCCAGCTGGATCTTCTGTCTGTCATTGTCAATAAACACCGCAGTGCCTGCTCAGAGGCCTGAGCGCACCCATTCTTGGGGGTGAGCGGGGCTGCAGGAGGAAGGGACCCCTAGGAGAGGGGGCAGGAGGCGGTGCTCTGTCCACCATCATCATCCATGCCACGGCCCCTCCCCGCCACTATGGGTCCTACTCCATAAAGGGTCCCAAAAGCCACAGGGTGGTCTCAGGGGAGGGACCACAGACCCTCAGTGAGCCCATGGCCCCTCCCTCTGCTGGAGGCCACAGAGGCCTCAGCCTCCACCCCCAGCCTCCTGCCTGCCCCTCTGGACACAGACAAGCCCCTGGATCCCCAGGCCAGCTGCACATACACAGGCCCTTTGATGGAGAAACGGGCCAAGTCAGACTCCCACTCAGGTACCTACACACAGAAACCCCCGAAGGCCCCTTCACCGCCACCTCCCTCACACAGGAGGACCCGTACCCAGCCTGCTCACACACCCGGCCTCTAACCGCCCCGTCCTACTTACACACACAGTCACAGCAGGCCAGGATCAATGCCCAGTGCCCCATGTTACCGCTCAGCCTCACTCCATCCTGGATCGACGCTGGGGATGCACCCACCCAGCCCTCACATGCACATTTGCGCGAGCCTCACAGCAAGTCCACGGCAGCTCCACCATCACCACCAACCACAGGCACCCCACGTGGCGGACGTCCCGCATGCTCACACGTGGCCTCCCACGGCATGCCCTCTCACCCGGGTTGTACCCAAGCCCTGCCTCCCTGTCACACCTGGACCACTGGATCCAACATGGACATGGAGAGCCCTCCCACCCCAAACTCCCCTCATGGCCCGGGCCTCCTCAGTCCAGCCCCTCCATCAGCTGCACCCCCGGATGAACACACACACGCACACATGCACACACAAGGACACACACACACCTACAGTGTGGGCTGTGTCCTCGGCTCCCACTGGGCCATGCCCCGGAACAGGCTGCTGGCCCCATCCCAGGGCTAGAGGCCGCGGAGGTCAGAGCCAAGGTCCAAGCCCGTACAGCCCTGGACCCCCTGCTCCCGTCATGCTCACACACACACACAAGTACCCACCGTACCCATCTGGCCCACACGTTGTGGACACAAGCCCACACTAGCTTGTGCAGTGCACGGGGAGCCCGAGGGCCGTGCACAACAGCCTCACTCTGCAGAGTGGGAGCCCAGCCGTGCAGGGAGAGTGGGGCCAGGGCAGGAGGGGCCAGGAGACTGGGGACCGAGGGGAGCCCAGTGTAGGGCCAGGTAGCAGCCCCGGGCATCTCAGGCCTAAGCAAGGTCCCCAGTGCCCAGCCAGCCCCTCAGAGCACCAGCTTCGTTGACTCCCGGGGCTACCCCAGGTCCTGTGAGCTGGGCTACAGAGCTCAGACCCCTCAGGGCTCAGGGCGGGCGGCCGTCCATGCACAGTTCAGAGAGGTCCTCGTGGGCCAACATCGGTAAAGCTCAGTGGGGACGGGCCTGGGGATGCCAGGCCGGGGGGCCATAGGCCATGCAGTGGGCAGCAAAGCAGCTGGGGGTGGGGGTCAAGAGAGGGCCAGTCACTCCCACACAGCCACTGGCCAACTTGGGGGGCTTTGGCCCCCGGGCCCCCGAGGGGCAGCTGCAGAGCAGGCTGGACAAGGCCGTCTGCCCTCCAGCCACCAGCAGGGCTGCGGAGGCCAGGGCGTCTTGTGTCTACCTCCTCGGGGGGTTGGGCCCGCCATGGCCCCTGGCACATGCGGACGTGGGGCAGGGAGGGCTGACTGGCCGGTGCCTGCAGAGCTGGAACTCCAGGACCTGTGTGCGGACGCGGCTGAGAGCGACGAGCTGGACGAGCTGTGGACCAGCCTGCTGGTCTTCATCACCCTGTTTCTGCTCAGCGTGAGCTACGGGGCTGCCACCACCCTCTTCAAGGTGGGAGCACAGAGGTCCCTGGGGCGAGGTGGGGCGGGGGGGGCAGCTGTCCTCACGTGCGCCCTCCCCCAGGTGAAGTCGGTACTCGCCACTGTCCTGCAGAAGCCGCAGACCTTCCAGGACTACGCAAACATCATGCGGCCGGTGGAGTAGCCAGGAGCCAGAGCAGCGAGGCCGCGCTTCCCCCTCCCCTCCCCCTTCCCCCCTCCTCGCCCCGTGTCTGAAGCAGTCTGCCTGCCCTGGGGGGTGGGGGGAAGCACAGCACACAAACCCCCAGAGGAGCCAGAGCCCAAGACCCAACCACTACCACACAGGCATCCAGAAAGTTCTAGGTCAGCTCCAAGGTCCAAGGCACCGATGGGACCTGTCAATCACAACCCCTACCCTCCCCACTTAGGGACAAGCCGCAGAAGAGCATCGGTCCCAAAAAGTGACCTGGGGTCAGGGGCCACTCCTGTTCTCAGTGAACAACCCCCAAAGCACGCTGAGGGGGAAGTCCATGGCCCCGCCCACCCGAGTCCCGAGCCAAAAAAGGACTAAGAGCCAAGCCCAGACTCAGCCTGACCTCTGTGCCACCAGGTCCACGGGCCTTGCCCCTCTGCCCAGCCTTCCCCAAGTCCACTTGCAGCACCCGCACCTGCAGAATGCAGGGCTATGGGCAGGGCTCCCAGTGGGAGGAGGGTCTCACAGCAGGAGCTGCCCAGGGGCCCACCTGGGCCAGCCCCTCCCAACCCATCCACCCCTAGCCTCCTGTGACCGGGGGCTCCTGGCTTGGCGACACTCTTGCCCCGTTTCCTTCATTTTGAGTTTCTTATTAAAGTGCCTTCTTACAAATCCGTCACCTGAGCACATTTTGGGAGTGGTCCGTGCCATCCTGCTGGGGTGGTGGAAGGCAGGTCCCCCCAAGGATGTGGACAAGGGGCCAGAGGGAAGGGGCAGTGGTTAGTTCTGGGCTTGAAGACGCAGGGGACCAGCCAGGCGCTCCCTGCAAGAGTCCCTCTGATGCCCCCAGACACCCCAGCTCGGTGCCCATCACATCCGCTCTGCTGCTCTCCAGACTCACACCCCTTCCCATGAAGTGAACACAATGGGCTCCCAGAGGCAGACCCGAAGCAGCTGCCTCTACAGCCCGTGCAGGAGGCCACAGGAACACAGCAGCACAACCACCTAGGTCAGGGCCGGCATCAGCTTCCAGCGACCACCAGTCACCCACCCTGTCTGTCCACCCACTGAGCACACACAGGCCAATCCTTGGCCCCCATCCACCAGCCAGCCTGGATGTCCCAATACGTTGAGCGAGACACAAAAGCAAACAAGAGCTGTCTGGGGCTGGCCACAGCCATCTTCAAGGAGAAACCTGATGAGCCTGGAAGGCAGGAGCCAAGATGCCAGTGAGACAGCCAGCTGGCCAAGGACAGTGGTGGGCATGAATCTGTGTCCCCTCTTCAGAATAAAGTGGTAGTTTCCTGGGTGGAGAGACTTTCCCAGAAGGGTCTCTACAAAGTCCACTGGAAATTGGGGGAGAACATGTGAACACACACAATGAAAAGTAGGATTCCTTCACATACAAAGAGTGTTCAGGAACCAATGAAGGAAACAGTGAGCAGTGGGTTCTTCAGAGAAAGGAAAAACCAAATAGCCAATAATAAGAAGATATTTCACTAACTACAAAAGTCACACTGAGGAGGAAGCCAGGGAGGGGCAGCCCTCTCAGGCCTGTCTGAGGACGTGTGATTTGTTAGGACCAGTGCTCAGAGCCATGGCTGCGTTCCCAGCGCACAAATGCCCAGACCCTCTGGAAAGGAGATTCTACTCGTGGAGCTGGCCTTCCACAGAGAGCCTCCCCTCCCTGTCCCATGTCACACAGGCTCCGACACAGACGAGGAATGGAAATGAGTAACAGCAAGTGCGCAGCCTGTGGGCAGAAAGCCCAGGACTGGGCAGCTCTGACATGCGTTTGGAGACACAGAGGATGTGGTCTAAACGGAACGTCAAGGAAGCCAGGCAGGGTGGGAGGTGGGATGGGACAAGGCCACACCACAGCCCACTGCACACTCACATGCAGACACACACAATCCCAGGAGACCAGGCCCCACACTGATAAAAATACAGGAGGTATTCAGCTTTAAGCTCTTCCTGAGCTCCCAGGAAGGCCCTACTGTGGCAAAGTCCAGAACGACCTGACCAGACTTCCCAGCAGAAGCTCCTTCTCTGCCCTGAGCTCCCATAAGGTTGGAGCCTGAAGAAAACAGGACATGAGTCTGTGACTTTCTAGAATGTTCTTCATCATGAAGATCTATAATCCTTCATGTGAGAAACCCCCACACTAAAGGTTGCTTCCTGAGCGAGTGTGGGTCCCAGAAGCTGCCTCACTTGAGCTCCAGTAAATCCTTTCTCCTTTTTCTCTAAAATTGTACAAAAGGGGTGCAGGGTGGAACGTGTCCTGTATTTTCTATATGGGTTCCAGGGCATGGGCACACCAAGTGTGGGGGGAAATACTGAGGCCATGGAACCTGGATATCATGCAAAATTATAGATAGACAGATAGATGATAGATAGATAGATAGATAGATAGATAGATAGATAGATAGATAGACTGATAGATGGATAGACAGACTGACAGACAGACTGATAGATAGACTGAGAGACAGACTGATGATAGATAGACTGATAGATAGATAGACAGATAGATAGATAGATAGATCTATAGATAGAGTAAAATTTTTTAGTTTTGTTATTTTGCACCGACAAGACCCACCCTCACATGCAAGTTTCTCACAGCCCACAGCCTAGGTCCTTCCTCCCATTTCCTGGGCTGGAGGCCCCCTGACGGCAGAGCTGAGTGTCCTCTGTCCCTGACTTGTGCCCCAGATCGTGAGCCCCGCCCCATGGACCCAAGACCGAGGACAAGGGCTCGGCTCACATGGGCCCCCTGGGAGCCAGACATCGATGCTCACGGGCGGAATGTGTGCCCCTCAAGCTTGGGAGAACAGGGTGCTGGTCATCCGTCAGGAGGGGCCAGCAGAGGCCTGTCTCACTGGGAGCACAGGCTGAGAGCAGGGCGGGGGAGGACAGTCCCATCATTAAGAGGCTGCCTTCTCAGGGCCCCCTCTGTCCCTCCTTTTCTTTTCTTACAAACCCACCACAGAAGGCTGAACGGTGGCCCCCAAAAGCTATGCCCACGGCCTAATCCCTGGAATCTGTGAATGTGACTTTATTTGGGAAAAGGGCCTTTGCAGATGTGATTAAACGCCTTAAGATGAGATTGTCCAGGCCCTAAACCTGGTGGCAGGTGGGAGAAGACGAGAGACCAGACGCAGAGAAGCCACGTGAAGACAGAAGCAGAGACCGAAGAGACACAGCCCCAGCCCCAGGGGTGCTTGGGGCCCCAGGGGCTGGAAGAGGCAGGGAGGACCCCGCCTAGATCTCCAGAGCTGGGAGAGTAAATTTCCGTTGTTTGAAGACCCTCAGTCCGTGGTCCTTGGTCACAGCAGCCGCAGGACACCTGGACCCCCAGCCAGCAGGACTCAGCCAAGCAGAAGGCCCTTCTCCTTTAAGAAAAGCCCAGGAAAGACTCCCTGGCTCTTTCCACCCCCAACAGGACCCTCACGCTGGGCACAGCCCCCGACACACGGAAGGTGCTCAGTCAGTCTTGACTGAGCGCACTTCAGACCTCTTTCCTAAGTCCAGGTCCTTTCACCCACAGCAGCGACCAGGTTGGACAGGACCCTGATATCACATGTCGGGTCCAGTGACACCTCTTCTGCCCTGTGTCCCAGGCTATATGTGCCCATGGTGCCCACGTGTGAGTGCCCAAGCTGGGGCACAAGGGGGCTGAGGGAGAAGGTGGCCTACTGAGTCTGCCTGACCCGTCTCTCACTCCCCCTGCTCTCTGGGGCACAGGCTGCTTCTGGGAGGAACCCCAGTGCTTCGGACTCTCAGATGCTGGGGGGGCTCCTGGGGTTTATAACAAAACCCCCGGAGTTCCCTTGAGCCAGGCCATGGTGTGTCTGTGCCATCCTGGGCTCCCCTCGCTGCACCCATCTCTCCTCTGCCTCCTGGCTTGCCCTGACCCCCCTTCCTTGGGCCGTCAGAGCCCCCCAGGAGAAAAGCACTGGCAGACACCTCCATCGAGCCTGAGGCTTGCTGCCACTCCCCCTGGTGGCATCCTTCATGGAAGGGGGCCATCACTTCCTGTGTGTGGCTCCAGAACCTTCTGTGCATGAAGAAGTGAATGATCAAATGGGCACAGACACAAGCTGGGCCTGATCTGCACCAGGGAGGGCCAGGCAGGGTGCATGGGAGCAGACAACCTAGGAGCTCGGGCAGCCGGTGGGAGAGCTCTGTCTCCGGAGGGTGGGGCAGAGGCTGGCCCTGCCCCCTGGGCTCCAAGCTCCCAGACAGGGACAGCCCCCATGCCTTCACCTCAGCCATACCCTGGGCCCCAGCTGATCAAGGGACTGGCCGAGGAAGGGCGGCCACTGATCCCAGCCAGGCTGGAGTGGCTCTTCACCCTCCCCCTCCCCTGGCTCGCCAGGGGTCACTCTGGTCAAGCCCTGTCCCTCCAGGCCCCACCCCTGCAGCCCTTCACTCCATCTCCACCTCTGAGACTGTCTCTACCCCAGTGTCCCTGAGCCCTGACTGTCTATTCCAGCCTTTGCTCCCTTGCCTCTCAGGCCTCAACCAGCCACATGGAGCCATTACCCCCAGCAGGGCACCTGCCTTTGCACCCACATGACCTCAGGCAAGAGTCAGCCTCCTGGGGGTCGTACAGGCCAGGCCACACACACCTGGCCCCGCCACAGCCAGACCACAGCCCAGACATGACGTGGAGGCGAGCAGCCACCACTGGTGGGACAGGAAGTGGGCAAGTGACCCCATCTGTGGGCCAGACACAGGCAAGCAGGCCCTCCCAGCCCACCCCTCACAGCCTCAGCCGGCTGACAGCAGCGGATGACCCAGAGCAGGACAGGGCCTGCTGAGAGCCTGCGGCCATCAGGTAGGACTGCAGAGCCCGAGTCCCTCCTCAACTCCAGTCCTCTTGGGAGGCAGACAGATGGACGTAGAGCCCTGGGCCACCTGGCCAAGGGAGGCCTGAGCCTCTCAGATGCAATAGACCCCCCAGCAGACTTGAGCAGGTGGGTCAAGGTGTGGTTCAGGCCTCATCTCTTCAGTCAGCCCACCCTGAACGCTCCTATGCCCTAGAGGACGGAGAGCAGATGGAGAAACGAGGATGGGCAGGACGCCCCAGATCACAGAGCCGAGCTGTCACAGACACAGTTAGCTAGGCGACTGTGAGCTGGGCTGAGCTGTGCTGGGCTGAGCTGGGCTGAGCTGGGCTGGGTTGAGCGGAGCTGAGCGGAACTGGGTTGAGCTGAGCTGACTGAGCTGGGCTGAACTGGGCTGAACTGAGCTGGGCTGGACTGAGCTGAGCTGAGCTGAGTTGAGCTGGGCTGAGCTGAGCTTGGCTGAACTGGGCTGAGCTGGGCTGGGTTGAGCGGAGCTGGGCTGAACTGGGCTGAGCTGGGTTAAGCTGAGTTGAGCTGGGTTGAGCTGAGCTGACTGAGCTGGGCTGAGCTGGGCTGAACTGAGCTGGGCTGGATTGAACTGGGTTGAGCTGGGCTGAGCTGAGCTGAGCTGAGCTTGGCTGAACTGGGCTGAGCTGGGCTGGGTTGAGCAGAGCTGGGCCGAACAGGGCTGAGCTGGGTTAAGCTGAGTTGACCTGAGCTGAATTAAGCTTGGCTGAACTGGGTTGAGCTGGGCTTAGCTGGGCTGAGCTGGGTTGATCTGAGCTGAGCTGAGCTGGGCTGAGCTGGGCTGAACTGGGCTGAGCAGGGTTGAGCTGAGCTGGGCTGAGCTGGCCTGAGCTGAACTGGCCTGAGCAGGTTTGAGTTGGACTGGACTTGGCTGGGTTGAGCTGAGCTGAGCTGGGTTGAAATGGGCTGAGCTGGGCTGGGCTTAGCTGTCCTGAGCTGGGCTGAACTGGGCTGAGCAGGGTTGAGCTGGGCTGAGCTGGGCTGAGCTGAACTGGGCTGAGCTGCGCTGAACTGGGCTGAGCAGGTTTGAGTTGGTCTGGACTTGGCTGGGTTGAGCTGAGCTGAGCTGGGTTGAATTGAGCTGAGCTGGGCTGAGCGGAGCTGGGCTGAGCTGTGCTGAACTGGGCTGAGCTGGCCTGAGCTGGCCTGAGCTGAGCTGGGCTGAACTGGGCTGAGCAGGTTTGAGTTGGACTGGACTTGGCTGGGTTGAGCTGAGCTGAGCTGGGTTGAACTGGGCTGAGGTGGGCTGAGCTGAACTGAGCTGGGCTGAGCTGGCCTGAGCTGTGCTGAACTGGGCTGAACTGGGCTGAGCTGGGCTGAGCTGAACTGGGCTGAGCTGGGCTGAACTGGGCTGAGCAGGGCTGAGCTGAGCTGGGCTGAACTGGGCTGAGCAGGTTTGAGTTGGACTGGACTTGGCTGGGTTGAGCTGAGCTGAGCTGGGTTGAATTGGGCTGAGCTGGGCTGAGCTGAGCTGGGCTGAGCTGTGCTGAACTGGGCTGAGCAGGTTTGAGTTGGACTGGACTTGGCTGGGTTGAGCTGAGCTGAGCTGGGTTGAATTGGGCTGAGCTGGGCTGAGCTGAGCTGGGCTGAGCTGTGCTGAACTGGGCTGAGCAGGTTTGAGTTGGACTGGACTTGGCTGGGTTGAGCTGAGCTGAGCTGGGTTGAATTGGGCTGAGCTGGGCTGAGCTGAGCTGAACTGAGCTGAGCTGAACTGGGCTGAGCTGGGGTGAACTGGGCTGAGCAGGGTTGATCTGGACTGGACTTGGCTGGGTTGAGCTGAGCTGAGCTGGGCTCACCTGGGCTGAGCTGGACTGAGCTGAGCTGGGCTGGGGTGCATGGGAAGGAGTAGTTTGGGTCTGTGTCAGCCCCCAGAGGTCTGGGCTTCAGCCCAGTGGCCCCTGTGTTCTTCTGGTGCACGAAGGCCATGCTACTTCCGTTGCAGCCATGGTGCCGGGTCCCCTCACCAGGCCTGCACAGAGGGCACCATGCCTGTGTTCCCTGTTCCAGCAAGGACACTCCAGGACTGAATTGCCATTAAGCCTCTGACCTCCAAGACCTCTTGGACCACAGAGGTCGACTGTCACTGATCTGGAGGCTGGGGGTGGGTGGTTGGATGGGGACCCCGGCTGGTTAGTGGGAGGGGGTCCCTGAGGAAGAGACCTCGTCTCTTGCCCTGTGCTGCCTCTTGCACAGCCAACAGCCCCAGGGCAGACTCACTTCAAGCCGGGACTGCTCTGGCCTGGCCTGGGCCCCCGCTCTGGGCCCACGTCTCGTGATCCCCGCAGCCCAGCAGAGAGCACGCCTGTGCCCACTGCGGACTCAGCCAGGGAGTGAGAGGGCCATGCTCAATAACCACAGACCCTGTCTGGGAGTGGCCTGCACCAGAGGCCTTCTCACAGGCACGTGTCCAGGCCCTCATGCTAGAACCCTGACAAGCATGTTCAGAAACAGGGCAAGTGGGCCCAGGCATCCGGCTCAGACACCGGGTCCAGGGCACATGAGCTGAAGGACCTTGGGGCCGTCACTAACCCTGTCTGTGCCATGTTCCTCCAGGGTAAAGGGGAAACGGGCTTCATCCTGGGCCTGTGAGGCTGTGTCGCAGGTCCGGGCAGCACGGGTCCCCCCCCTCACAGAGCGTCCTGTGTTGCAGAGTCCAAAACCAGCCCCCAAGTCTTCCCACTGAGCCTCAGGAGCAGTGACGTAGCGGAGAAAGTGGTCATCGCCTGCCTAGTCCAGGGATTCTTCCCAGCTGAGCCCGTGACAGTGACTTGGAGCCCCAGCAAGGTCGGTGCATCCATCACGAACTTCCCCGCAGTGAAGTCTGCTTCTGGGAACCTGTACACCATGAGCAGCCAGCTGACGCTGCCAGCCAACGAGTGCCCTAAGGGCACATCCATAGAATGCCGCGTGGAGCACGATTCCGTCGCCAGCAAGCCCGTGTCTGTGCCCTGCGAAGGTAGAGGGCAGGCTGGGGCGGGGCGGGGGCCTCCACATTCTCACTCTGACCCACCACCGGGAACTCCCTTTGGACGAGAGTGGGCTGCCAGGCTGGGACCCTAGTGAGTGGCCAAGATGGGCCCAGGGGAAGGAGCTGGAGGGAGGGGGAGGGGAGGCGGGCAGAGTGGCTCACTGACCTGCTTGGCTGTTCCCTCAATTATAGTTGACCCCCCGTATTGCCCCACGTGCTGCCAGCCCCAGCTGACACTACACAAGCCCGCCCTCGAGGACCTGCTTCTGGGTTCCAACGCCAGCCTCACGTGCACACTGAGCGGCCTGATAAAGTCCGAGGGTGCCGTCTTCTCCTGGACGCCCTCGGGTGGGAAGGAGGCCATCCAGAAGCCCCCGGAGCGTGACTCGTGCGGCTGCTACAGTGTGTCCAGTGTCCTTCCAGGCTGCGCTGAGCCGTGGAACAGTGGGGAGACCTTCTCCTGTACCGCCACCCACCCCAAGATCAAGGAACCAAAAACTGCCACCATCAAGAAAGACTCAGGTGGGCCCAGACCCTGACCGTGAGGTGTTGCTAGGCAACTCCTCGGCCTGCCTCCTCCTTGAGCCCCTAACCCACATTTTACTAGAGGACACTGAGGCATGGGGTGCCCAGACCCCTAACCCGGCTCTCTGCCCTCCAGGGAACACTTTCCGGCCCCAGGTCCACCTGCTGCCGCCGCCGTCGGAGGAGCTGGCCCTCAATGAGCTGGTGTCGCTGACGTGCCTCGTGCGGGGCTTCAGCCCCAAGGACGTGCTGGTGCGGTGGCTGCAAGGGTCCCAGGAGCTGTCCCGCGAGAAGTACCTGACCTGGGGGCCCCTGCAGGAGCCTGGCCAGAGCGTCCCCACCTTCGCGGCCACCAGCGTGCTGCGGGTGTCGGCCGAGGACTGGAAGCAGGGGGAGAAGTTCTCCTGCATGGTGGGTCACGAGGCCCTGCCCCTGGCCTTCACCCAGAAGACCATCGACCGCCTGGCGGGTAAACCCACCCACGTCAACGTGTCTGTGGTCATGTCGGATGTGGAAGGCGTCTGCTACTGAACTGCCCACCCGCCCCTCCCTGAATAAACTCCGTACTGGCCCAAAGCAGCCCCGCGCTTCCCTCAGGCTGCCTGTCTGTCCATATCCGGGTCTGCGGCCGAGGCAGGGGCAGGGCCCACGGAAGGGGGAGCTCCTGCTGCCATGACTCTTTCGGGCCTCACTTTCCTTGCTCGGCCTGCACATCTGTGTGTGCGTGTGTGCGTGTGCGTGTGTGTGCGTCTGCACGTGGAGCACAGCAAAGCAAGCTGGGAGCCAAACCCGAGGTCGACAGTCAGCGAGGTGGGCACAGCCCAGTGGGTCCCGAGCAGCAGGGACCACGGAAGTCCTCAGTGGGCAGGTGACGTGGTCATTTGGATCTCAGAAAATGCCTCTAGGGGCAGCCGTGAGGGACCAGAGAGAGGCCGTGAGGGACCAGGGGAGCAGGTGGCCAGTGAGGAGGCTGGTGTCACCATCAGGGGCCACGGCAGGGATGAGGGGAGACACCGCGGGTGGTGACGCGCACACAGTTGTGGGACAGCCCCACTGACACACACCGCGAGAGAGCCGCCCTGCAGCAGACGGCTCTGCATGCAGCACACACATACACACAGTCTCCCCCATGCTCACGCTCACACTCATGCTCACACTCACGCACACACGTCCAGGAGCAGGAAGCTCACAGCCCAGACCAGGCTCCAGGGAGGCAAGGGGGGTCCCTGCCCAAGATTCCCCATCTTCCCCATGTGCTCCCCGGGCACAGCTCAGGGCCCAATTCCACAGACCCTCCCAGGCAGCCCCTGCCCCCTGCCTGCCCCCAGACTCAGATCTCCCATCCCTTCCTCAGCCCAAGTATGGGTAGGGCAGGGACGGGCTGCGGAGGGCTGAGGAGGGACGGCTCCCCCCAGGGCCCCTCTGCAGCTGCGGGAGGCAGTCCCGTGGCCACTGTGGGACACCTGGCGGTACAGCTCCCACAAGGGGGCAGCGGGGCCCTTGCTCTCGTCTCACACACCTCCGGGGCTTCCCCAGGGGACCTGGCTTCGGCTTCCTCCCACTACTCCCAGAGCCAAAGTGATCTGGGGGCCCTGCCTACACGGCCACTGCTCCCCTCTCAAAGGTCCGGCCACCAAGACAGCCAGTGCCTGGTCCAGAGAAAGAGCTTCCTAAAGAGATGAGGGAGAGGAAGAGTGAATAGATGAGGGGGACAGCAGGCAGACAGGCAGACACAACACAGGACATGTGGTGGATGGAAGGGTGGACAGACAGGTGGATGGGTAGGAGGAAGGAGAGGGATGGACCGACGGACGGAAGGGTGGATGATTGGCTGTGTCGGCGTGTGGCAAGCAGGTCCAAATCCCATGTGCCCTGAGACCCTGAAGACAGCCCCTGCTGATGGTCTTCACCGGGGCCTCCCTCAACTCCTTGTCGTTCATTAGCCACACCCCCTGGGAAGGCAGCGTGCCCACCCAGTCGCCGCAGACCCAGAGCTCTGTCTAACTCCGGAGCACCTCAGGGTGGCCTGCCTGGTCCTCTCTGACCCCACCCAGGGCCCAGACCAAGGCCAAGCCAAGAGCACAGGGCTTGCTGAGGGCTGGTGAGCACACAGACAGGGCTGGGGTCCAGGAGGTCTTGGGCCTGAGCTCTATTTACAGCAGCAGAGATGGGGGGCCTTAGGTGTCTAAAGAACTCAGGGGTCGCAGCCCCTTCCCTGGCACCTGTCGCCTCATCCTCCCTGAGGCAGCACGTCCTGAGAGAGGGCACCCCACTGTCCCGACCCCGAGGAGTGTGGGAGGGGCAGGCATGGGCTCACCCCCACCCGTGCAGACATGGGTCTGTCAGACTCTCAGTGTCTTGCAGATTGCCAGGAGCCACTTCCCTGGCTGGTGCTGGACGTGCCGCAGGAGGACCTGGAGGAAGACGCCCCGGGAGCCAGCCTGTGGCCCACCACGGTCACCCTGCTCACGCTCTTCCTACTGAGTCTCTTCTACAGCACAGCGCTGACTGTGACAAGCGTGCGGGGCCCAGCCGACAGCAGAGAGGGCCCCCAGTACTGAGCAGAAGCTGCCAGGCACACAGGCGGGGGTGAGGAGGCAGAGCGGCGAGCTGACGGGACAGGGTGCTCGGCCACCAGGGCATCTGCCTATTCCCCACCCTCAGGGGGGAGCTGGCCTCCCAGGGAGGTGATCCCCTCACAGACCCTGAGGATACGGGCAGTCCTGGGGTCAGGGCCTCAATGTACCCCAGCGGGATCTGGGAGTTAGCTTCCCCTGAACTCATTGCAGGATTCAACCTGTCTCCCTTGAGGGCAAGCCAGGGTGGGGACAGGGCATTGGCAAGGAACTCCCCTGGACCCTGACCCCACTGTGTTTGCAGGCAGGAGTCTGGAGGAGCCTCCGGAAAGCCCAGCTGGATGTCAGAGCTCAGCCCCGCTCAGAAGCTGCCCGCCCACCCCCACACACAGGCCTTGCTGGTGCAATAAACTGATCCCAAAGGCAAAGGTTCTCAGACTCTGAATGAGAGGAGGGAAAGGAGAGGGACAGAGGCTTGGGAGAGGGGACACCTGCCTCAAGGCCCAGGGTGAAGGCCCTTCACCTAGAGCCCACCTGATCTGCTCCTGCATAAGGCACATGCACAGGACAAGAGCTGTCCTTCACCAAGGACAGTAAGAAGCAAGACGTCTCCCAAGAACAGCACCCTGCACCCTGGTCCTCATCATTGGGCCCTTGTCATGGTCACTGAGCCCAAATCATGATCATTGAGACCTGGTCATGATCACTGAGCACTGGTCCTCATCACTGGGCCCTAGTCTTGGTCACTGTGAACTGGTCCTGGTTACTGAGCCCTGGTTATGATCACTGGGCCCTTATCCTGGTCACCGAGCCCTAGCCCTGGTCACTGACACCTGGTTATGATCACTGGGCCCTGGTCCTGCTCACTGAGCCCTGGTTATGATCAGTGGGCCTTGGTCCTTATTACTGAGCCCTGGTCCTCATCACTGGACACTAGTCCTGGTCACTATGGCCTGGTCCTGGTCACTGAGCTCTGGTCCTGATCACTGACCCCTAGTCCTTGTAACTGAGTCCTGGTCCTTGTCACTGGGTCCTGGTCCTGGCACTGGGCCTTGATTGTGGTCACTGAGCCTTGGTTCTAATCACTAAGCCATGGTCCTGGCCACTGAGCCCAAGTCCCAATCATTGGGCCTGGCCCTAGTCACTGAGCCCTGGTCCTGACATTGCTCCCTGGTTCTTATCACTCAGCCCTGGTCCTAGTCACTGTGACCTGATCTAATCACTGTGCTCTGGTCCTGATTATTTTATTCTGATCACTTATCCATGGTCCTCAACACTGAACCCTGTTCCTGATCACTGGTCCCTGGTCTGATGACTGAGCCTGGCCCTGGTCACTGAGCCCTAGTCCTGGTCACTGAGCCCTGGTGCTGATCACTGAGCCTTAGTCCTGGTCACTGAGCCCTAGTCCTAGTCACTGAGCCTGGTCCTGATCACTGAACCCTGGTCCTGGTCACTGAGCCATGGTCCTGATCACTGAGCCCTGGTCCTGGTCACTGAGCTTTAGTCCTGGTCACTGAGCCCTGGTCCTGGTCACTGAGCCCTGGTATTGATCACTGAACCCTGGTCCTGGTCACTGAGCCTTGGCCCTGGTCACTGAGCCTGGCCCTGGTCACTGAGCCCTGATCCTGATCACTGAGCCTTGTCCTGGTCACTGAGCCTGGCCTTGGTCACTGAGCTCTGGTCCTGATCACTCTGCCCTGGTCCTGGTCGCTG